CGCAATTTAAAGCTTAATTGCCTCAGCTAATTGGCCTGTTTGAACATAGTCTAATACGAAATTCGGCGATGATTTCATTTCATCCCCTCCTTCATTTTGAATTACCCCGTGAGTGTGCCCACTGGAATTTATAGTTACGGCCTTGTGAGGCTGGGAAGACTACTCGGCCTTTACGGTCGACCTTCGATGAGACAGAGACTATGCAGTTCCACATGCCCTGGTTTTCGTACATCTAGCAGTTCACTTGCACTCAACGGTAATATGTATCACTCTCTCTTTTGTCGGTGATACCGAGTCGAGAATCGTCTTACTGGCCAATTCATTTTCAATGACGCTACTTGCTGTGGTACCTTGGTCTGGTACCCATACAAGTCGACTGCTGAGCGTAGGATTGACCTATCTCGGCAGGCAGTTAGTTCAAAAACGCCCTATCTCAAAAAACTTTTCAAGAACGCCCTATTTCAGAATTTTATTAAAAAATACCTTATCTCAGAATTTGGTTGAAGAATAAACTATCTCAGAATTCGGTTCAAAAGCGCACTATCTCAGTTCAAAATGTATTGAAAATGTGCTGATGTAGGACGCTTTGGAATCGGCAGCTGATATAGGGTGTTTTTGATACGAATTCTGAAATAGGGCGTTCTTGAAAAGTTTTTTGAGATAGGGCGTTTTCGAGCTGGCTGCTGAGATAGGTCGACCTTCCACTCGGCAGTCGAAATATGACATGGAATAATATGACGCAGCCGAAGGAGAGGAGTCATTGTCAAATGCTACTAAAAAATTATCTATCGATTGGTGCAGATCGCGTACATGTGTTGCTAAATTGGCTATCTGAGCCCCTGCCTTTAGTCATCAAAATTAATATTTGCATCTTTTTTCGATAGAATAGCTAAGCTAAGGATCTTATTCCACTTCCCTAGGTTCAAGCTCAAGTTCAATTACATCACCAATGTGCGCTTTTTTGATGTATCCATGATTGCTTAGATTATCGAGTTTGGAATTAAAGTACTCTAAATCAATTGCGTTTTAGTCATTCTTCTAAAATGTCCTCAATTTCATGGAGTTAAAGAGCTTGCTGGTTAAAATTTCTTTCGACAAAAATTCTTTTATCGATACCACAAACTTTTAACACCAGTATGCAAACAATCATAATTATGAAATAGAAACATTGGAAACTCAGCATTGGAAATTGGCAAATCAAACATTTTTATTTCGACATTGAACTTAGTCTTTGACCAAAAAAATATTTGGAAATTAAGGGATAAAGTTGGCGCTTGCATATTCCCCAAGTGTTTAGCTAAGCTTATTCCCCAAGTGTTTTCAAAGTGCTTCTTGCAGTTATCATACAAACAGAGGAAGCCACACAAATTTACAATCCTTCAAGTGGTGGATGTTTTTGATTGTTACTCAGACCAGGAATCCCACAAAGCTTCTACATACACGCTGACGCACCGCAAAACACTTGATTACAACAGCAGCTAACTAGGAACTTNTAGTATGCTGACGCACCGCAAAACACTTGATTACAACAGCAGCTAACTAGGAACTTTGCCACATGCTGGGGCACCAACTGTTTGCAATAAAATTCACGTGTAGAAAACAAATATTAAAATGTGAATTTTATTTAAATCAAATGTTGCTACTTTCTAAGTTGAAATGAAAACAGCAACCAGGCAAGCAAAAAAAGCAAAAGCAATCACACCAGCAGAAAAGGGGAAACTAAGACGAAAAAAAAAAATTAATATAAACATTGAGTCCACTGCTGAACAAGTGGGTGGATATGTATAGCTGACGGGATACTTGACCGTCGAGAGACCAACAGACCGACCGACCAACTGACTGACATGGACTGATAAAGTGTTCCAGCTTTGCTGATTGCGCATACGTTGGCATTGTTTGTTGGCTTGTTAGCCATGTATTTAGTTGGCAGCTATTTAGCTATTTCCCAGTTGGCCGTTCCACAACGAGGTGCGAATGATGGAAAGCAATAAATTGAAGAATGTGCTATGTGCGTGTGTAATCAAAATCGAAATTGTTAAATCAAAGGCAGTAGTAGTAGAACTTGCGATGTTTTTAAAGAGCTGAATCATTTGAAGACGGAAAATTAGTTTTTTATTTCGTTTTTATTGTTCTTTTAATTTTTTATTTTCTGTTAGAAAAATTAAACAAATTGTGTTGATTAATGGGCAATGATAATTTTGTAGACGCTCGTATATCTTTTAAGCAACGATCATGGACGATGACCGTAAATGATATACTTTTTTGCAGATTAAGATTGGAGAAATTTAAGATAGGTACTAATTAGTTTGCGTCTTGAGTCTTGTCGTGCATAGTTTTTGAATGAGCGTCAGCTGTCCAGCATATATTTGGGTATTTATGAGCTTTGAGTAATTTGTTTGAAGTTTTGTGTCTCTATTTCAGTGATTCCCAAAGTGGTCCAGGTGGACCCCCAGTGATCCACGGGAGACTCGACGGCGTCCTACGCTGCCGTGCAAAAAATGACGGCTCACAAGTTGTAAGTGTGAGTCGACGAAAAATTATCTGGTTTCGATAGTAAAGAGCAAAAATATTGGCTTCGTATTACCTACATATCAATGCAGGCAAATAATAAAATACTAAAAAAAATTAAGCGCAGAAAAAAATCAAAATTTTGCCGTGGATTTTGATAGGCTGTATTTAAGTGAAAAAATAGAAGAATTGAGACTTAAAAAACGCATTTTGAAAACTCAAGATTGTAATTTTCAGACTCCTTTGCTAAAAATTTTAGGGAGTTATGCATCTCATGCAGTCCCAACAAATAGCGCGAAAAAATATTTTAGCTAATTTTTTGGATTATTTTTTTGCAATCCATGGGTTTTGAAACAAATTTTTTCAGTTAGGCCGTTAACGTTAAATGTAGTTCATCANCTTTAGGTAGTTATGCATCTCATGCAGTCCCAACAAATAGCGCAAAAAAATATTTTAGCTAATTTTTTGATTATTTTTTTGCAATCCATGGGCTTGAAACAAATTTTTTCAGTTAGGCCGTTAACGTTAAATGTAGTTCATCAAATAGAGCGGGTTGCATCCTTCTGGAGCAATTCCTTAAAAGAATAGCCATCTAGAAAAGCAGTAAGCTAACATATTTAACTAGTCTTACGCCCTTTGGACTAAAAACAATGGAAAGAATCGTAGACAGGCTTATCAAGGATAGCTTCCTTACCGGGAACCCTTTTCAAAGATACCAATTTTCCTATCTCCCAGCAAAATCTACTATCCACGCTCTTCAGANCCCATCTAAAAAAGCAGTAAGCTAACATATTTAACTAGTCTTACGCCCTTTGGACTAAAAACAATGGAAAGAATCGTAGACAGGCTTATCAAGGATAGCTTCGTCACCGGGAACCCTCTGAATAAATACCAATTTTCCTATCTCCCAGCAAAATCTACTATCCACGCTCTTCAGACTCTAACAAGGAAAACTGAGAAGTCTTTGGAGGACAAAGAGGTAGCGGTGGGAAGTTTCTAGGACCGTGGAGGTCGCTTTAGACAACGCGGAATACTCTTTATAAATAGTTTCGTCCTCCGCAGAGGGATTAGAGGGATAGCAGACGAACTGCCTTCTTTGTGAAAACGGCTTTGACGTTCAGGGATATGCGGATAACATTGCCATCATAATCAGAGGTACTATCTCCAAACTCCTACGGAATATTTTGAACATAATCGCCAATTTTTGCAGTAAAAATGCGTTAAGCGTAAACCCCAAGAAGAATAGCATAGTCATTTTATCCAGGATGAATGAAAAGGACAAATTGCTAGAACCATTCCTTCACGGTGCAGAGATACACCTTTTCAGAGAGATCAAATATCTAGGAGTTATCCTTGATGACAAGCTCTCATGGAATCCACACCTAGATAAAAGTATTCAAAAGGCTAGCGCCTCTATCTGGACTTGCCGGAAATTTATGGGACGGAACTGCGGCAATAGACCTAAACTGGCAAGGTGGATGTATGAGGCGATCTCCAAACGTATTATCCTTATGCTGCACCCGTCTGGTGGAAGAAGGTAGAAGTGAAATCCACGCAGGCCAAGCTTAGCAAGCTACAACGACTGGCCTCCGCAGGCATCACTGGCGCGAGGAGAACAACACCAACTGCGGCTCTCAAGGTACTTCTCGACCTGCCTCCCCTACACATTGCAAATAAGAAAAAGGCGCTACTGTTTATAGGGAGGCTCATCTCAGGGAACAGTTCAGAGGTCAAGAAATTTATACACCCTTACACCCTCAGGGTAATCGAACAAAAAGGTGGGCTAGGCACAAGCTTTGTGGACCTATGCCTTCCAAGATTTAACTACACCCAAAACTTCACGGTCTTTTCCCGGTCAGGAACAACTGGGGCATGGGAAAAATAACTCTGAAGCACACGATCTAAATGGAATGAAGCCAAAGGACCGAGCGATGTTGAATAGAAGTTTGTTTCAATAGATCGTTTCGGTCGCTGTAACTACTTAGGTGACGTGCTGCCTCTAAATCTCTTTTTATCAAATCTTACATATTTGAAATCAAAGGACTGCAAACCTTGGCCACTTAATATTTTCTACGGGACTCCAACTTAAAAAGTATTAAATGTTTTCGTCAGTAGAATAATAGGTTCGTTCTGTAAGTTTCTGCAATTTTGACAGGAGTGTTTTACTATATCTCTATCTAGTAAACTTGCTGGTGGAACGCTTATGTGTAACTCAAGTAGCTTTTCCAAGTAAAAAAATTATGTTCTCGTTTTTTTTTATTACTAAATAAGTTTAGTTCGTTTTCGAATCGATGAAATAACCATACAAGGAAGAAAATTTTATGAAATTGATTTTGAACTAAAAATTTAAAATGCATGACGAGTTGAGAAATTTAGTTAATTCGACTTAAATATATAAAAATATATACACATACGCGTGTATATTCTTTAATCATTTCTATATCCAAATTTTGAATATATGTACTACTCTTAGCAAGCACTACCTCACTCACCGCTAAGCCATGCACCAACGCCACTGGTGTGGAAATCGTTAGAATAATCACCCACAGCATTGCAATTGCAATCTTTGTCACCTTCTCGGTGCGCAATTGGCGTGAACGTATCGGATGCACAACAGCCAAAAAACGATCGATCGACATCAGTACCAGCGTATAGATGCTGGAAAATGCGGTTACCACAATCAAATATTGCACCGAACGACACCATATATCACCGAAGGGCCAATACTCGGTTATATAATCGGTTGCAGTGAACGGTATGCAGAGAACAACGAACAGCAGATCGGCCACAGCCAAATTGACGATCAGCAGATTTGTTGTGGAATGCATTTGCTGATTGAAGACAACGACCAGTATGACAAGTGTGTTGCCAAAGAAGCCGGTCAGCGCAAAAATGCCAAAACAGAAGGGTACAACAATGCGTACGAAATTTCGCAATTCTGGTGATAGTTCATCCATTTCCTCGAATTGCTCATACTCCGAATTGGTTAGGCTTGGATTGGTGGCATTCAGCAGAGCTGTGCTGGTATTGTGTATTTCCAGCATTTTGTTGATTATGTGATAGTTGTTGTTGTGGGTATTTGTGGAGTGGTAAGAAGATGCATTGATGGTGCTTTCGTTGTTGTATAATTCGTTGCTATTGTTGTAGTGGTAAGTGTTGTTAATTGCAAGAGAATTAATCGATTCGAAGCTTAGGTTCATTGGTGATACTGAGAAGCTCATATTTCAACATTTGTTGTTGTTATTGAAAATGTGAAACAATTTTGTAGCTACTTAGTTATTTGTTGCATATTTTAATTTGATTTCAACACTTGTTGAATATAGTTTTTGTAGTTTTATTACAATCAGTATGTTTTGTTTTTGACGATTCGTAGTATACTTCGATTGACTAATACTTTTCATCTTTTTTGTTAAACTTTTTTTTTAATATTGAGGGTTTCGTGGAACAAATCACTGTATTCTTATACACACATATATTTAAAAATTTATGGTAAATGCGTCGGATTTTTAAACAAAATTACTGAGTATACAAGAGCAAGGCTTCAGTTTAGTTTTAATTAATTTTTTTGTAACTTTAGTGCTTAGAACCTTTTGAGGGCGCACTTTTGTCTTTAAATTGTTGATTATCTTTCAATTTACTATCGCAAAAGTGGCCATATACACTTCAATTCTCATAAAAATTGCGCTCTTAAGCCACAAATATGTTGAAGAGGTTTTTTTTTTATTTTTTTTATTATTTTTGTAGGCCAACAAAACGCATCAGAAAATATTAGAAACAAATAACTTTCTATGAAATACACTCCCGAATTCATTCACACAAAACACAGTTCAATATTTTTCCAAACACTCTCCTGCCCTTGAAACACCTTTCCGTTGTTAAGTAGTTAGTTACCGTTACCGCAAGCATTCCATCGTTTCACTTTGGACGGCACATCGCGAATGAAAAAATTTATTTTGCATAGAAATCGCATAGTTGTCTATGTATATTGAGCACAAGCAAATTTGAGTGAAATACGCACACATACCCACTCACTCGCGCAGCTTTGCACCTACGCCCACCAGCGCTGATCCTCAAATGAGTCAACTACTATGCATCTACATAAATACTTAACTACATAACGAGCCAGACAATACTTTGGCCGTTACGTGTTTTAGTTAGACAGCGCTACAAAGCTGCATGGCGGCGAGTTTATCTTCATATGGACATTGAAAGTGTTTCTCACTTTTCACACGCTTCAATAAACCAAAATAACAATATCCAATTAAAAAACATACATACATATAAACAAATATAATTACAGAGTGAGGTGTGAAAAAGTAGCAACAGCAACAGTAACACAAAAAATATTCTAACAGAAAAGAAAACAAACAAAAAACATTCAATTAGAATTGATGAAAGCGCATCAGCATCATATGAATGAGCAATAAGCTGAAAATGCAGTGAAAGTGATATAGGAGATTTATTTTTATTAGAAAGCATACATACATGCATATGTGTTCCTTAGAATGTACATATTTGTATGTATGTCGCTACAAATGTGTTTGTGGCATATACATATGCAGTTCCATGACTGGTGTGAATGTCCAAAGGATTATCATAGCAAATTAAATGCCATTGAGTGTCTACGAACTCAGCTCATACACTCTATAATAATGAAAGAAAGTAATTGCCACTTTTGCGTAGAAATACAAAAAATATATAATTAACTGATATATGAGATCAGCAATGAAAGGGCAATAGAAAATGGCCAAAAATTCATAATTGAAGATTGTATATAGCAGAAAAATAAGACGTTATTATTGCCTACGCAGGTCTTGAAGACTATATATGTATGTATGTACATTAAGGTGGTCAACAAAAAGAAGTAAATTCGGAATTTAATTGCTCTCTAACACTAGGATTGTTCTACATATTATTGGAAAAAACTAAACCCCAATTTTTTTTTTGGCATCATAAAATATTTAGTGGTCGCCCAAAGCGCTCAAAGTTTTCCAAAATTTTTTTTTGTAGAAATGGTAAAGAAATCTTGAATCAATTCGGACCATGGCAACCCGTGCCGACTTGCAGTAAAAGTTATTAGAATAATCTTTGTGCAGTTCGCGTGTTTTGTTAACTTACTCATTTTACTTCTATATAAGGCGGTATTACTGTATTCCGTATAGTATTAGGGCATAATATTTAGTAAATCTGCGTTTTTAGTTTTTTAACAGGTAGTGAGGATTTTTGCCAAAGGACCGTAAATGAATAATTAACTTAATTAAAGTTTTCACAAAATATGGATATATGGGTGTCAATTAAAAGAAAAATTCAAAACAAGATTAATTATAACTTTTGTTTTCAACTAGCCTTTGGAACATGTGAAAAATATCCTTTAAAAATATTTAACTTTAAGATTTTTTCATTTGAATGCATTTTCAAGAATCTTAGTTTAATTTAAATTCTATAAATATTTACATATAAGGATATTGAAGTATAAAAATTGCAAAGGACATTTGCCTTTAATTAATATCTTTCGATGTCCTTGTAAAGAAATCGTGCCGTCCTATAAAAAATTTAAAGATGCAGATTTACTAGAAATACGTTGAGGTATGGGAAGCATATCGAATTTTTTGCATTACAGTAGTTTTCATGGACGATTAATTCAACTTATTAACCAAAAGTACAGCTAAAAGTCGGCACGGGTTATCGTTACCCCATGGCCATTAAACCTCATATATATTTGCTATTTAGGCTAAAAAGCACAAACATAGATGGTATGCATATCATAATTCGCAAAAAATTTTTTTTACAAATATGTATATTCTTGGGACAGGCTAATGTACATATATGAATTGAGTTGCGAGATTGCCTTTTTTTCGCGAAAAACACGATTTTTTACATTAGCCGGTATTAACGATCCGGTGCAAACTGTGTCGCATGGTGCATAGATAGCATAAATAGCATGATTGGCTAATTTTGTTGTTGGTTGAACACACGAAACAACAACAAAATCATCCAATCATGCAATTCATGCACCATGCTAGACAGTATGCACCGGATCGTGAATACCCCAAATAATATTTTTGTGAACTTCTTGACGCAATTGGAGCAAAAATATGTATTTAAAAAGTACACTAAATTTAATTTTTGACCAAAAAAAGAAGAAACAAAATTTTAATAACCCCTATCAGACGAAATTATTCTTAATGTACTTTTTTATTTCGAAACATTTAAAATGTGTTTCAATTTTTTTCGCTGTCTGTTTTCGTTGCCGAGATATTTTGCCAGAAAAACAGTTAAATTTGCACACTGTGCGGTGCTAGTGAAGAGTTACTTCGGTTTCCTGCAGAGTACTAATTTCCATGCATTAGGAAGGGTCGATTTGTGTATACATGTCGAATTTGAGAAAAATTCTACGCTAAGCATGAATTCATAAGTTATCACCTTGATTTTTTACAAATAAACCTACAGAAAACGTCGCAACTAGTTAATTTTTTAGACTGATCTTAATTTTTTTTTTTAATATCTTTATTTGGATCACTATGAGCCGTACTCAAATGAAGTTCTGGCTATCTCAAACTATGTTAAGGTTTTCTTGGTAAACGAACAGATTTGGCCTAACACTCATGCACGATTCTATTCTGTTGTATGTATTTTAACGCTAAAGAAGGCGAGAAGATATTAGAGGATAAATGTAGCCAAAACAATCCTTTCAAATGTCAACAGACAGGCGGCGTCAATAATAGTTGGCGACATGTCGGTGAACAAGAAAACAACAACTTCTTAACAACATTGTCGGGCGCGTAGGAGAGTGAGAATTTTTTGGCAACGAGATAAAGATTATGATGCCGACTGCAACTGTGAAACTTAGTCAAAAAGGCGACACGAAGCCACCATAACATTGCGAGCAGCGGCGAAGCCACTAACGACTAACAGAATGAGTGCGCGACGGAAACAAAAAACGATTCCAAAAAATAGTTGCAACATTTAAAATTTTTGTGGTATGCAAAACGAACTGAACTGGTGCAAGGCGCGCACTACCGCATTTCCCCAAACGCACTCGTCATCTTACATGTTTACACTACACTCCAGGGGAAAAGCACTTCATTTCTCGGAGAGCAACACTTTTTGAATTCACAGCCTGCAGGTAGTGATTTCCTTAATTTTATTTTTCTTTTTTTAACGGAATATGTTTTCTTTAAACGATTTGTGTCGATTTTCAACTTCAATCTGTACACGTTCGTTTCCAGCGCACAACTGATGAACTGTGACTGCCACAGCCGCCACACAAGACTCACATTGAAGTCGCGCGTCTGAAACGGCACATTCACACAAGCAAACACGTGTGCGCTTCCAAACAATCGCCCAAATGTGCCGTCGCCAAGTGTGGGCAGTTTTGGCGCTACAGACAGAGCAGTGCTGGTGCTGGTGCTGGCGCTGGCGCTGGCATCGATTGCTGCTATTTTGATTGCCCGTTTGAGTGTTTTGCTGTTCGCTTGGTTTACTGCCGGCTGCCTGCCTGGCTGAATGAATAGCTGGCCCACTGGGTGCTAGTTGACTAGAGTATGGCATCTGCGTTCAAATGCTCCCCATCGTGGTTTATCACCGAGAGCATTGGATAAAGCAAAGCAAAAAAAAAAAAAGAAAGCAGGAAAATCAAATGGTTAGCGCCACAGCAACATATCCACGCTGCCACTCAACGAAAGTCACAACAACTCTAGCTTTAATGAATACATAAACCTAACAACAATGACGCTATTAAACATGAAAAATAGAAGAGGAATAGCAACAACACCGAATTTGACAGCAACAATTTCAGCAGGACCAGCAGTCAAGCGCTTCAACCAAAACCACACGAAAGACTCGGAATTGAGGGTTCGCAATGGAATAGCGTTAACGCCATCACCTCCTGCCAACCGCTGCTCGCCTGCTGTCAGCGATAGTGAAAACACAAAAGTCAATTGACAAGGCAGCCCTTGGCTGGTACGAGCGAGCATACTGGTGTTGGCGTAGGGGAGACCCTAATCAAAGTGAATGTCAGAACGATCAGGCAAAGCTTTCGACGATGCCAATGTGCTTGTGCTGCTGCCACTGTGGGATCCTAGCGGTGATGTGCTTAATTTCATTGATTAAATACTTTGGCCAATTCAATGCGGGCGTTGGCAATTTTTAAAGAAAGCTGCACAAGCATTGACACTTACGTACTTATTTGAGCTTCAATGACTAGTGTTTGGGGCGTGTA